GGGAACCCAGACCTGGCAGGGGCCTTTGCTTTTTGTTTGTAACACATACAAGAGTCTTGTTAGTCCTCTGTTTGTTTATTTTTCTTTAAAGGGGCTTTTTGCTTTAGGGTACGTGCACTGGCCAGAGAGAGAGTCAGAGAGGGAAAGTAAGAAATCACTCCCTGGGGAATGGCCATGCCTCAATCCCTTCTCCATTCTCCTCGGATCTTGGGCACACATGCACCTGCACCCAGCGTGATCTTTCAAGGGACCAGGTCCTGGACTGGAGCTGTGGTCGGCCATGTGGGAGTCAAGCGACATAATTGCTACGCCATCTGCTGGCCCAGTCCTCTGTTTAAAATAGAAATAGGAGTATATTATTAAATAAAATATCCCTAAGATATTATAATCTGACACTGTGAAACCTGTGTGGTATAAGATTATGGTGTTTAGTTGCTTCTGGATCTTAAAGAGGGCTTAAATAAAAGGCAGTTTTGGGACCAGCAGTTAGCGTAATGGCTATGTCGCTGGACTCCCATGTAGTCGACTATGGTTCGAGTCCCGGACCCGGTGGCTTAAACTCACGCCATGTGTGTGCGTGCCCAAGATCCCGAGAGGAGAATGGAGGAGAAGGGATTGCGGCGTGGCCATCCCCCCTGGGGGGGTGATTTCTCGCTTTCTGTCTCTGTCTTTCTCTATCTGGCGAGCGCATGCGCCCTGTAGCAAAAACCTCTCCAATAAAAATAAAATGAAAGGCAGTTTTAGTCTCAGTCATCCTTTCTTTAGAAATTGTGCTTAAATTGGTACTTTTGATCATTTACAGGTAAACACCTCTTTTTTTTTTTTAAGAGAGATTTTTGCTATAGGACATGTACGCTCACCAGAGTTTGAGTTTTAAACCCACCAGGTCCGGGACTTGAATTACGGTCGACTATGTGGGAGTCCAGCAATGTAACCATCTGCTGGTCCCATTAAACACCTCTTTAAGAAACAAGGTTTATTTATTGAATTGTTTTTCTATGCAAAAAAATGTATCATGACTTTTCCAGCAACCCAATATATCAGAGAAAAAAAGTCTGATAAAAAAGAACTGATAGTTAATCACTATCGTTAGAATCTCAGGGAGCCTCAGGACATTATTAACTTTCATGTGGAGGGCAGTGCCTTCTCCACAGAAGTGATGGTTGTCTCCTCACCTCACTCCCTAAACCCCTTCCCACCTTCCTCCCACAAAGAAGTGACTCCAGAGCCAGTACCGGCACCTGGGCTCCATAGCAGATGGGTGGTCAGGTGTGCTCAGCAGCCAGCTCATGAGTCAGGGCTGCATCCCACAGCCTCCGTGACCTGCCCTTGGTCGGGGGTTCAGGGCAGGTTCCATAGGGACTGGACGTCTCCTTAGTTCTAAGTCAGCCTCCCCCGGTTCATTGGGCTGTTAGGTAGCATAGCATTAACACCCGCCCTCAGCAGCATGGCCATTTCTGTGAAACCTACTGAAACTTGCCTTTGTTATTGAGTAATGTTTCCACAGGCAAAGGGGTTTTGCCTGGATCTGTGTGACCCTGAATGGAGGGGTGAGGGGCAGGGTTTTAGGGGCAATTTAGATTAATTTCTCTTGGTATTTCAGGATCCCTCCTCACTGTAGATAGGCTCTATGGCTGGAACCTGCTATTGGCTTTTCCAGTTTTTCTCCTTGTCGGACTCAGAGCAGCGTCCTTCCCAGATGAGTGTGCATGGTGCTTGGCGCTGGAGTGATGTGCTCTAGAGGAGGGACTTGGGGCTGTTTTCAGGTGTCTTGTATTGCCTCCTCCCTGTAACAGGCTGGAAGCCTTGGAGTTGCCGTGCTGCCTGGGAGCTGTCAGGCCATCCTGCAGGCGTGTGCAGCTTGGCTAGACAGACACATTAGCGTGACTGCTTTCCAGACCCTTGGGCATTCCACCAGGGCCTTGCTCAGTGCTGTGTGGCTCATGCGTCTGAATTCTAAGGGAAGTTCATTTCAGAGCTTTCTGAGCTGTGTCCTAAAGTGCCACACCAGGCTTCTGCTGTAGGCTGACTTCTGGCCACTCGTACTTGAATATCCTTGAATATCATCTTGTAGTGGGACTTAAAAAAAAGTCGGGAGCCAGCAGTTAGCGTAATGGCTATGTCGCTGGACTCCCACGTAGTCGACCGCAGTTCGCATCCCGGACCCCGTGGCTTAAAACTTATGCCAGGCGCGTGTGTGTGCGTGCCCAAGATCCCGAGAGGAGAATGGAGGAGAAGGGATTGCGGCGTGACCATCCCCCCTGGGGGGTGATTTCTCGCTTTCTGTCTCTGTCTCTCTCTGGCGAGCGCATGCGCCCTATAGCGAAAACCTCTCCAAAAAAAAAAAAAGTTCATCTTTTAAAATTCTGTTTGTAGCCCAGCTTTTGGCTCCAGGCCAGGTTGTTCTGATTCTGTATGTATGTGGTCCAGTCCCTGAGTGCGGTTTCAGATCATCATACTGTACAGCTGGGCTGACTTTGCTTCATGCCACTGCCTCAGATCAGGCAGGTGTTCAGAACCGAGCACTGTCAGTGAGGAGGTTTTGCCCGAGTGGTATCCCAACTTCGAGGGCACAGTGCTGCTGCCAGCCGAGTAAGGTTTGCACAGAATCCTGCTTGATGGAGAAAAGGGGAGCAGTGCTGAGTTCTTCAGTCATTAGGCACAGCCATCTAGTTGTCGGAGTACAGGATCCAAAGGAGAAAGCCCTGATACCTTGGTGCTCTGCGTGTGGTGCAGAGACCGGCAGAAATACCCTTACCGGGGAGCTTGATGGCAAAGGTTTGTAGGTATGAGGAGGGCTGTTCTAAGGAAGATCCTGTTAGGTCATTAGAACAGATCTAGCTGTACATTTCCCTGAAGGCAGCACAGCATGGTGATAGGACTGTCTCCTAGTTTTGTAACCTGGGGTAATTATTTCTGTGCCTCAGTTTTCAGATCTATGGACTATGGATTATGGTAGTACCCAGCTCATCAGATTGTTGTGAATATAGAGTTAGTACTAGTCAATACATGGACTGCACTTAGAACAATGCGTGGCTCCTTGAGAGACACAGCTCTGAGTTCAAGCCCTTTCGTTAGCTGCTGCCTTTTCTTTCTACTTCCTGGCTCATCATTGTATTTCCTGATTACATGGCTCTAAAAGAGGAACCTCTCCTATCACCTGTCCACCTCCTCCCAAAAGAACAGCATCTTTCTTCTCACCCTGGCTTCCATTTGCAATCACTGAAGGCATATGAAAAAAAAAAATTGGTGTCTGAGTCCCACTTCCAGAGATTCTGATCAGTTTGGTCTGGAGTAGGGCTTGGGCATGAAGAGGTTTTCAAAGTTCCCCGGGGGTTCTCAGCCATGGTTGAGACCCACTGTGTATGTAGTGTTCTCATGAGCAGGGGCTCCTTCCTCAGCCCACAGCCCCCCCAGGTCCTCATGTGTTCAAGGGCAGCACTGTCAATAGAAATGGCATGTGGACCACATATTTAAAGTTTTTCTAATGGCTACATTAAAAATGGGAAATTCACTTTATCCTAATATACCCACAGTTTTATTATTTCAATGGATAATCAAAAGTCAGATTATTTTTTGCTGTGTTTTCATACTGAGTCATTGAAACCTTTTGTTTCACAGTAACAGCACACCCCCATTGAGATGAGCCAGTTCAAGTACCGAATGTAGCTGCGGCTGCTATGTTGGACAACAGTGATACAGGCCAGCTCTATTGTAGCAGAAATTCCTTTTGGACAGTTCTGTACTAGGGAATCCTTGTTTTACAAATTCCAGATTTAAGAGATCCTCACAGGGAGCACTGTTTTTATTGTACAAGATGCTTACAAAGGCCACCTCATGTTCATACTCATCCACTCCCACATTGTTACTTAATAATTCTCATCTACCCACACAGCCATCCAAGCTAAGCTTGCAAAAGAGGCAGAATAGGAAAGGGAGGGAACCCTTTATAAATGTGGCCTGCATCCCCATTTACAGCGAGGTCCTACTCAACCCACCAGGGGCAAAGCAGTGGGGTGGGCCAGTTGTTGCCTCCCCAGGTGGAGGCCCTGGGCCCTCTCTCTCCTTCCCTCACTGGTCGTTGGTTTACTGAGTCCTTCTGACCTGTGACCTCAGAAGTCTCGAGTCAGCTCTCAGCATCTCGTACTGCTGGTTCTGGTTGACCCTGCTGCTTACAATATCCTAATGTTAAAGCACATGTTAGCACCTCCTGCTCATCACAGATAGTACAGTCACGTGGACGGAGCTTGCCATAGGGGTTCCAGGTGTTACTAGTCTTAGTCTGGAGCCAGTACAACTCGGTTTCATGGCAGAACTAGATTTAGGCTCCCCCATTGCAGTCTGCCGGCTTAGGGAAAGCCAACAGTTTCACTCACACATATTTAATTAGAAGAATATCTATTTCTGGAGGGTTCTTTGGATCCTAAATACAATGAGAGCTTTTTGTATTGCTTGTGAGGAAGATAACCTTTCTTTAATGATGCTGATACACATCTCTGGAGGCATAGGGGTTTTGGCTAGGTAGCTTTCACAAGAATGAACCCTCTACCGTGGTATTAAGTACAAATGATGACTCTTCAAATAAACCAGCCCAAAGGAGAAGAGCACCCACACAGCCTCTCAGGCTCTTCATTTTGCTTTGTGTTTTTTTTTTTCCCCTTGCCCTTGGCATTTAAAAAACACTTATGTGCTAACCAGCCAGAACCTACTCAAGTAGCTGACTTCTTTAAAGGGCTTATTTGCATCTTGTAAAATGTCTTGCCTCTGGGATAGATGATAGAGACTTTAGTTCTGGCATTATTTACTATCTCCTAGAGACCTAATTTATCTTTCATGGCTCTATTTCTCTTCTATAAACGGAATTATAGGTAGGCAGCAGGTACTGACTGGTACCCAAGTTATTTTTACTACTACCAAGAGTCAAGTTCCTTGGGCCATCTTCTTTCTTCCTACACCTGGACTCCAGTTTTCAATGATGTTTTTTGTCTCTTTCTTTCAAGCCTAACTATGGGACAGCTTTACGAGAAGGAAAAAGATGAAGATGGATTCTTGTACGTGGCCTACAGCGGAGAGAACACTTTTGGCTTCTGAGGGCCAGTGCTGGGCTAGGTGCACCGTTCCTGCTTGTGTATCTTGTAAATAGCCGGCTGTTTTCAGTTACTATATCAGAACCTCTTCACATAGACCTCTTAGTGCATTTGTAACTGGATTTATTTCTTAATATATTGAAAGGTTTTGTTTCCTTAGACTAGTAAATTATCATACAGAGTTTTATTTTGAGTTTTTCTTTTGTGCACTGTCCTCATGCTGTACTCTCCAGGGAACTTATTCCTCTGGGATCATATTTAATGAAGATATTTCCATATTGAAGTGAGGTAGGTGCGGTATTAAAATGAATGGGAAGGAGACGATGCATTTATTCTGAATTATGTTTGAAGTGTTAGATGGCTAAGTATTAAAAGCATCCAAATTAAGTCCTTAGCAATCAGAACACTTGCTTCACTAGATTTTGCCAACCGCCAATCATGTTGGACTGAGCTAATCTGTTCCTCTTTCTGAAATTATTAAGGTAAATAATTAACAATAAAACTTCCTCTTATAAAGGCATTGTAGTGTGACCATGTCCTTTATTCACCTTCGCTGGGAGGAGCTGGAGTAGTGGCTTTGTATCTGTCAGGCTAGGAGGAGAGCTTATGCGGCTGAGGCAGTATGACCTGGGGCACGAAGCAGTGGATGGTGTCATGAAGAGGGACATTTTGGAACTATATTTACATGGTTTAAGTATCAGTGCTACATGAAAAGGTGTACGTTAAAGTCTTAACCCTCACCAGTTTTCTGACCCTTTATGGAAAACTTTTTTTTTTTAAGGTTTAGCCCTAAGTCGTGTGCTCACCAGAGAGAGAAGGACAGTGAGAGGGAAAGTGAGGCACCTCTGCTTTTTTTATTTTTACTCAAAGTTTATTTACTTCCAGAAGGAAGGGTGGTGTTTTCAGGGTCTCACCACATCATGATCCTCCACCCCAAGCAGCCAGCCCGAATCACGGCTTATGTGCTAAGGGCAGTCCAGGATTTGAACCCCAGGTCCTACCCCTCTTGTTCCAGCATTGGTGCAAATACACCCCAACACTTAGCACCACCATGACTGCATCTTTATTTTTATAGAGCAATAATTTTTTTTTTTTTTTTTTGCTATAGGGTGCATGTGCTCACTAGGGAGACAGAGACAGAAAGTGAGGAATCGCCCTCCCCCCCCCCACCACCAGGGGGATGGCCATGCTGCAGTCCCTTCTCAGGATTTGGGCATGCATGCACACGTGCCTGGCATGAGTTTTAAGCTGCTGGGTCTAGGACTTGAATCACGATTGGCCATGTGGGACTTCAGCATCTTAACTACTACACTGCCTGGTCTCATGGCTGCATTTTTAAAAAGTGTTGCTCTCTAATTCCTGATTCCTAAAAATCTAGATTAGATTTTTCTAGGTCTATGAGTTTCATAATTTCTCACAAATGAGATATGTAGGCTTGCCAGGACACAAAGGCATTTAAGAAGAAATGCTTATTTTCCTAAATCTTCCGTAGATGAACAGTGTTGCGCTAGAGTGTACATGGATCACCAGAATACAGAAACCGGGTACCAAACAACAATCTAGGAACTTGTTAAAATGACTGTCTTACACTTGGGGAAGAAACAAAGATCTTTCTCTTTACCAAATGATGTAAACAACCTGTCATAGTTCTTTACTGATGACCTGGGACCACAACAAACACTTGTCCTCAGCATCCTGTTGGTTTTTCCCAAGTATGACCAATAAAATCTACATTGCTCTTTGCTGGTAGTTTGGAACTTGAGCAGGTAAAAACTGACTCCAGAGTGAGCCAGGTAAAGAAACAAGCTGTGTGTTTTTTTTGGAGAGATTTTTGCTATAGGGTGTGTGCACTCACTGGAGACATCCCCTGGGGGAATGGTCACACCGCAATCCCTTCTCTTCTCAGGATTTTGGGCACGCATGCACATGCACTTGGCATGCGTTTTAAGCCACCAGGTCGGGGACTCTAACTGTGGTTGACCATGTCCAGTGGCTTAACTGCTACGCCACCTGCTGGCCCCTGGGGCATGTTTCTCACTTTGTCTGGCAAGCACACATGTCCTATGCAGATTTAACCAAGGAAAAAATGGATTTATCAATCTTGCCTTTAACATGTAGCATCTAGTCTTCTTCCCAAGCTTAATCCTTAAAGACACTAGACTTGCAAGATTTTTATAGATGTTTTATCAAACTATGTAAGGAACTCTTTTTTTTTTTTTTTTTTTTTTTTAAAGATTAGCCTTTAGGGTGTGTGTGCTCACTTGAGACAGAGAGACAAAAAGTGAAAAATTACCCCCAGGGGAGATGGCCATGCCACAATCCCTTCTTCTCTATTCTCTTTGATTTTGGGACACACACATGTCCAGTGTGAATGTCAAGTCTCTGTGTCTAGGACTCAAACTATGGTCAGTCATGTGGGAGTTGGTCCCACAATTCCCCTTTTCATCTTTCTTTGGGAGGAAAAGAACAATCCTGGTTGCAGACACCAGAAGGCTAAGCCACAAGTTAGGTAGGAGGGTCTATATATACCTCTTGCAATCAGCCTCTATTCTCTTTGATTTTGGGACACACACATGTCCAGTGTGAATGTCAAGTCTCTGTGTCTAGGACTCAAACTATGGTCAGTCATGTGGGAGTTGGTCCCACAATTCCCCTTTTCATCTTTCTTTGGGAGGAAAAGAACAATCCTGGTTGCAGACACCAGAAGGCTAAGCCACAAGTTAGGTAGGAGGGTCTATATATACCTCTTGCAATCAGCAGCTTTGCTCCCTCTCCTCAGCCCAAGAGCTGTTGCTGCCAGATGTGGGACGCGGTGGTACGTGTGAGTAAGGGTGCCAATGCCTGGTACGCAGCAAGAGCTTCACCATCACACGCCCAGGAGGCTTCTCCTGAGGACAGTCTCTTACGTTCATTAGCAAAAGCTCCGAACATCGGGAGTAGCAAATTGGAGAATCACTTACAAGCTGAAGTGGCAGACATGCTGGAGTTCCCTGTGTGCTAGTCACTGACGTGGGGGCAGACAGCCCTCCTCATGCCTGTGTCGTACATTATCTCACTTCATCCCTACACTCCAGAGCCAAGTAGGTCATTTGAAAGGTGAGGAGAGTGGGTCCGGCCAGTAATGTTAAGGGAGCTGGATCTCACATGGCTGACAACATAGTTTTCACAGACCTGGTGGCGTGTGCATGTGTGCCCAAAATCTCGAGAGGAGAATGGAGGAAAAGAGATAGCATAACCATCCCCCTGGGGGCTGCTTCCTCACTGTCTCCCTCACTGTGTCTCCAGTGAGCACATCTACCCTCTAGCACATTAAAATAAATAGATAAATAAATAAAAGAGAGGATGGTGACAGAGTAAGAAAGTAGTTTCCTACTCAGGACCACACAACCAGTACATCCTGGGGCCATGATTCAAAGTAGCCTAATGCCAAAACTCATACTTGGTCCACTAGATCAAATGGTAAGGATTAAAGGCCCCTGCTTGAATGTGGCCCACAGACATACGTAAAAACTCAGTTCTCCTGCTTGTCCTGAAAAATTTCTTAAGATCCAGCAACAATGAGCTGAAACAAAAGAACAAAGAATATGCTTTCTAGTCTACTTCACCTGCTCTCTTTGTTCAAAATTTCTTACTCCTGAAAATATGAGGGGACTTCAAAAAGTCTGTGGAAATACGGAATTAAAGTATGAGTTTATTTTGGTGCAAAAGAGTTTTGAAATCGGAGCTGGTGGGTGGTGTGGTGGTTGGGGCACTGGACTCACATTACTGACTGCAGTTCATCTTTGGCTTGCTTTCTCACTTTCCCTTTCTGTTTCTCTCTGGTCAAATTAACAACAACAACAACAACAAAATACATAGGGCAGGATGAATAATTCTTAAAAAAAAGTTTTTTCGAAATCTTGGGCCAGTTCTGTGTCCTGGTAGTTAAGGGAAAGGATCTTACATGGCTTAACCATGCGGTTCAAATTCCAATTCCAGTGTCTTGAAAAAATATGCTAGGCACATGGTGTGCATGCAACAAACCTCCACAGGATGGAGAAATGGAGAAGGGACTGTGGCGTGACCATGCCACAGGGGAGTACTTACACCCCCACTCCATGACATTTCTCACCCTCTAGTACACATGCCCTCTGGCAAATTAAAAAGATTAGAAATCTATGCAGTTTTTCATAGTATACATTTTTCCACGAACTTTTTGAAGGCCCCTCATGGTGGGGTTTACAAGCATTGCACTATAGTTCATGTGCCACCACTTATTTTAGAATCCCCCAAAGTTATACAAGCAAAGTACTAACTCATGTGAGCCTTTGTCTTTGGGCTGCTATGACAACATATAAACGGGATAACTTACAAATAGCAGGTGTTATGCCTCACAGCTCTGGAGGCTGAAAGTCCAAGATCAAGGCACCAGGAAATTTGGTGTCTGGTGAGAACCTGATTCCTGGTTTGTAGATTGCCTTCTTGCTTTGTCCTCCTCCTTGGAGAAAGAGGTGAGAAACTTTTTTTTTTGCTTATGGAACACATGTGCTCATCGGAGAGAAAGAGGAGAGCAGGAGAGAAAGTACTCTCCATTGAGGATGGCCATGCCACAGTCCCTTCTCCTTTCTTCTCTGAGGATTTTGGCACATACGCACATGTGCCTGGTGCTGTTTTGTTTTTTTTTTTTTTTTTTTTTATTGTAGAGGGTTTTGCCTTAGGACATGTGCATTCACTAGAGGGAGAGGGAGAGAGAGAGAGATAGAGACAGTGAGAGGGAAAGTAAGAAATCATCTCCCAGGGTAGGGTGGCCACACTGACTGGGATCTTGGGCACACACAAACATGTGCCTGGTGTGAGTTTCAAGCCACTGGGTCCAGGACTTGAACTGCAGTTGGCCATGTGGAAGTCCAGCGATGTAACTGCTACACCATTTATGCCCAGGGGGGTGTTTTTTCAAAGCCACTGGGTCCAGGATTTGAACCACGTAGTTGGCCTTGTGAGATCTAGCTGCCCTAACCACTATGCCACAGGCTTGCCCTTTCTGGGTCCTTTTTTTAATAAGGGCACTAATTATGACCTGATCATCTCCCAAAGACTCCAACTCCGAAAACAATCACACTGGGAGTTAGGACTTTTTTTTTTTTGGAGAGGTTTTTGCTATAGGGAGCATGCGCTCGCCAGACAGACAGAAACAGAGAGACAGAAAGCGAGAAATCAACCCCCCAGGGGAGACGGCCACGCCGCAATCCCTTCTCCTCCATTCTCCTCTTGGGATCTTGGGCACGCACGCACACGTGCCTGGCGTGAGTTTTAAGCCACCAGGTCCGGGACACGAACCACGGTCGACTACATGGGAGTCCAGCGACATAGCCATTATGCTAACT